TAGTCAAACCAGAAGTTGTGAAGAACTACAACTTACAGATCTCTGTATCCTGTCAGCACATAATACAGTGCTTGACACATAGTTAAGTATACAATTTGTAGATATCCTCATGTAGTATTTTCTGGTTGATATGGGCAAATTTGTCTATAACCAAAACTATAAATTTCTTAGGGCAGGAGCTATTCAACAGAGCTTTTTATTTCATTCTTCCCTTGATAAACTACAACAGAAAGTGGCAACTAAAAAAAAAAAAAATTCTCTGCTTACTGACCAAGGGAAATGAGCAACATGGAAACACGCTCTCCATCCAAGACCTCGGAAGGACCAGGGAAGGAAGAACACGGGGCAGTGAGCGAGAGCTTGCAGTCACCAAAACCACCAAATTTGTGTCAGACGAGGTTGCGGGTTCTGAAGTTACATGTACCACCCACAAGGTGGTAGAATCCCAAGCCATGAAATGAATATAAATTCTGGGCCCAAACCACTGAAATGCCAATGGCTCTAGCAGAAGTAAATTCTGAAACTGGTCAAATGCTCTGCAGGAATTATATGTCTTTCCACTTATGTGTTTGTGTGTGTGTGTGTGTGTGTGTGTGTGTGTAAGGCCAAGGGGGTGGAGGGGAGAATTCCACTGAAAAGAAGTATACAATCAAAAATTACAAACTCATAAATAATCTGTCCATTTCAATGACCCATGTATTCCACACTTAGTAAATAATCATGGAAATAGAAGAGATTATAAAATAAATTATGTTAAAATTATGAAAAAGATAAAAAGAAATGGAACCATATTAGAAAAATAGAACAACTATAAACTACACTTGATCTTAGCCAAAAGGCTGAGAAATGATTAGAGCAAGTATATAAAAAAAGAACTGGTAGAATCTGAATTTCAAAACAATTCAAAATTTAATTCTCACATGAAAAATACAATCCCTAAAAACAAACAGGTTAAAGGGAAGATTAAATACAGATAAAGAGATTTCAGCGAACTGGAAAGGGTCCAATTAAAACCCACCCTGAACGTAATACAGAGAGATAAGGGAAGAAAAATAGGAAAGGGCAGTGGTTATGTAGCCCTCACACAAGCCTCCTGGAGCAGGGTTCACTGGAGAAGACACATGGGGACAGGAGCAGTAGCAGGGGTCCAGGTCACATGCTGCCCAAGACATTGTGGGACAGCACACAGACATCTGGCAAAACTCAATGTCAGACATTTAAAGAAACCCCAATGTGTGGGTCATGGAACTTTTAAGGAAGGTGCATGATTAGGGAAAGCACTGGGCCTTGTCTGTGTGATCAGAAGTAAAAATATAATCACAAAGTGATGTGTCAGAACCCTGTTTCTATCTCTATCCTATTATACCCATGGTTGGGGTAATTCCCCTGCCTGCCATTATCTGGAAGCTATTTATTATAAGCCTTGCCCGTTGAGCTGTAAGATGGAGCAAAATGATAGCAGAATCTGCCACTTACATATGCATGGCTTAGAAAGCAACAGACTCATGTCTGCCATAATTAGGGAACTAAGGTCCAAGCTTTGTGGTTGACCAGGATGGTCTGCTCTATCCAGTTACAGCCAGTTTTGACAAAACTTTGCAAGAGGCTCAGTCTTTTTCTGAGTGGACAGCTTTCAGGGGCTTGGATAAATTAATCTCATTCCTCCAGCATATAAGAAACAATCATGTGAAACTAACTAACAAATTTCAAATAACAGTTCCAGAAAAAGGGAACAGAGAGAATTAGGAGAAGCAGTGTCTGAAGAGAATATGGTTGAGAATTTTCCAAAATTTATGACCTGAATCTTCCAATCTTACCTTGCATCCTAAGCCAGAAAAATAAGAACAAGTCTACATCTAGAGATTTCATAGCGAAACTACAGAGCATCAAAGACAAAAATAAAATCTTAAGAAAAGACAAACAGCCAGGTGTGGTGGCTCACACCTATAATCCTAGCACTAAGGGAGGCTGAGGCAGGAGGATCACTTTAAGCCTTGGAGTTCGAGGCTACAGTAAACTATTATGATACCACTGTACTCCAGCCTGAGCAACAGAGCAAGACTATGCCTTCCCCCAAAAGACAAATAACAAAGAAAGAACTCTTAACTACACTGACAATGGACTTATGTGGTAACTAGCCTCCACAGATGCAATCCAATAATTCTCTCCTTCCCTGTAATCACTCACTGCTTCTCATGTCAAGACTCACAGCTTCTTCCCTTGACTCTACGCTAGCTCTGTGAGTGCTCTGACCAACAGCAGGCAGCACAGGCAACACCTGAGTCTTCTGAGCCTAGGCCTTCATTTATTTTTTTTTCTTTGTTTGCTTGGGTATTTTGAGACAAGGTCCTGCATCATCATAGCCTACTGCCACCTCAAAGCCCTGGACTAAAGCAATCCTCTTCCCTTAGATTCTTAAGTAGGTGAAACTACAGGTGTGGGGCACAAGACCCAGCTAATATTTTCCTTTCTTCTTCTTCTTCTTTTTTTTTTTTTTTTGGTAGAGAAAGGGGTTAAGGGGTCTCACTGTTTTACTCAGACTGGTCTTGAACTCTTGGCCTTGAGAATCCTCCCATCTAGACCTCCCAAAGTCCCAGGATTATAGGTGTGAGCCTGACCCAAGTATAGGAGTCTAAAAGACTGACAAATTATACTTCTTTCTTCTTACAAGTCTTACCCTAGGACACTATCCTTCAAAACTTAGCCTTCATGCTAGAAGCCCAAGCCACACAGAGCAGCTCTGTGGCTGAGAACTAAAGGACAACACTTAACATACCAGTAAAGACTCCAACCACAGGCAGCAGCAAGCGCCAGCTGCGTGACCACGCACCCGGATGTGCCAGCTACACTGCATCCCTAGATAACTGCAGCCCCAGCCAACATCAAAAGGAGAAATCATTCAACTGAGGTCAGCCTGCAGAATTATTAGAGGAGATAAACAGGCTAGTGTTTTAAGCCGCTAAGTTTTAAAGTGGTTCTTAAGCATCCGTAGATAACAAAATTTCTCAGAAGCAATTAACAGATACCAGAAAACAATAAAAAAAAAAAATCTTTAAAGTGCTGAGGGAAAATAACACTCAACCCAGAATTCTAAGACCAACTAAATACCTTTCTAGAGACCAGAAAACATTTTTAAACAGACAACAGTGAAAGTGCACTACTTCTGCACCCTCACAGAAGAAATACTAAAGAACATATGGATATAAGAAATAATTGTAAGTAATAAAATTTGTAA